GGGGGGGGTGCAATGACGTGCCCGTCGAGCTGGGTAGGCGGGGCCGCCGGGGCCGTCGGTGCTGGTCCATGAATCTCGCATCAGGTCCGCCGGGGCTGGCGCATTATGGGATTTGGTTGTATCGGACAGGGTGATGGATCGGTCGGGACGCACGTGTGTTCTTTTAACATGCGGGAAGAAAAGGGGGGGCGCGGGAGAAAAAAAAAAACGAGCGAGGCGAGCAGGCGCGCGGGGTTTGTTCGAACCCGCCCCTCGGGGGTTGCAGCAGCGACGTCGGCTTCGTCGTCGTCCGTCCTCCGGCAACCTGCCCTGTGGGGCCCGTGGGCAGTGGGGCTCGTCACCGCCAAGACATTTACGACGGCATCCTCGTCGTCGTCCTCGTATTGGTGATGGACGAAGTCGTCTTTGTCGTCGTCCTCCTCTTTTACTTTCCTTAGGACTCCTCCAGTTACACAACTGCGAAGTTCATCCCAACCAAGCGCCTTATGGGCAGGCAATTTCTAGCCTGCAGTGCATCCGTGTACTGCGGAGTGGCCTACTCGGAGTCTCGCAGGCGCTGAGCTCCCGTCGCCGTCGCGTCGTAATGTGGCGAACGAGTCCGAGGAAAACGGGCGTACTTTGTGGACGGCACGGCCCCGCACTCTTCTCCCACTTTCTGGCCCCTCTTTGCCACGTGCCTGCTATCGACGGTCGTGACGAGACGACGCCACAGGGAAAGAAATTAGTGGTGCGGTCGCCGACCAAAAAAAAAAAAGGCGGCATCGTGTCCCGTGTGGCAGTTGTTGCAAGAAGCGGGGCGCGGCCGCTGGCGAGCGGGGGGCGGCTGGGGGCCACGCCACCCTGCTGTCCCGTCTGCTTGTTGCGTCCCATCCGATAACTTGCTATTTTTTCCCCTGCCATCGCCATCCATAACTCGGGAACGACTTTTATTATGAAATTTGACGGAAGCTTTACCCCCTTTTTCACCCTTTCCCTCCGCTCTCCTTCCCCTCGCCCTGATCCGAGCCCTGAACCACGTCGCTCTAAGTGCTGCCCCGCGGGCAAGCGCGTCCCCGCAGGCGTCTCCTCTGGCGCTGCAGAGTGTAAGCCCCTATCCGTGTATATCTACGATTCGCTGTCCCTGTGTCGCCGTGCCCCGCCTCGCCCCACCCCGACCCGCCCTCGACGTGCTGTGGGTGTGGGGCGGGGCCGATGCGTTAGCCGGGCAACTCACTATAATTCAAATCAAAACTTGGCGCGAACTGGGACACAGCGTATGGCTACGGAGAGAGCACAACTTTCGGCACGGGGCAAACTCGGTATGGGAAAGGGGGTGGGGTAGGGGTTGTCAGGACGGAACCAGAGGTTATGGAACTTGGAGAGGGGGAAGGACCACGCGCCTTAACAGGAAACCAAACTATATGTGCTGAGGGGGTGGGACAAGGAGGGGGAGAGGCTGTTTTGCTCAGGTGCGGTGGCGGCGCCGACGATGCCTGCAGCATAACTTTCCCCGAAATTTCGCATTTCCCCATCGCTTGTTTTAAATGTAAAATATTCCCTCTTTTTTCAAGTTTAATTTTTTTACTGCCGTCAGTGGCGTCTTTTCAAAGTCGGGTCGTGACGGGGTCTTAAGGTGTATCGGCTGCGAGGACAGGCTGACGGGGCTGGCGGTGAGGTGGCTACGGAGGCGCTTTTCCCCCCTTCCAACATTCCCTCGGTTTGAGCGGCTCGCTTTACAGGTCTTTGAGGCTCTCCGAGCCGTATTGGCTCCTACGAGGGCGTAAGCATGCCTGCCGGGCTGGTGGGGGAGGCTGTCAAAGCGAGAGCTTAGGTACACGACGAACCGTGCGCTTCAGCCGTGGGGAAACCGGGGCGAGGGCGGAGCCGGGTGGAGCCGGGTCGACTTTTAAGATTTCTTTAAACAAAAAGGGAGACACGGGGTGCATGCCTGGTTGCTTGTAGCATCCTCCGGGTGGTTTTCAGTGCTCACCGCGCAAAGGCGTATAAACTGAAATATTCCTGCAAAATGTTGGCGTTCTGAAACTTGTCTTTTAATCTCACATGTTCTCGTTGCAGGTCCTCACGCGAGCACGTTGGCGAAGAGGCCCTGCCGCCGCCTGGCCGTGGAGGGCGGTGTGCTGTGCGCCCCACTGGGGGCGCTCGGAGGGGCGCTGGGGGCCACGCTGGCCGCCGGGGTCGGCATGGACATGGTGGGCCTGGACAGGCTCGAGCCCCTGGAGGCGTGCCTGCCGCCGGGGCCGCCGCCGCCCTGGTTCGGCGACCACCACCACCACCACCCGCACCACCCTCACCACCTGCCCGCCGTCCTGGCGCCGCCACCGCCGCCGCCACCACCGCCACCGCCGCCGGACTTCTCAGGTGAGAGACACCGCACCTGGGCGTGTCCCGTGCGCCGCCCGGGGGGTGGGTGTGGGTTCTGCTGTTTGTGTCCTGTGCCTGGGCCCGCACGCGTGCCAGGGACTTGGGGGGCGGCCGAGGTGGGGGCTCGGGCCGGGGAGGGGACGGTCCCCCGGTCTCTGACATTGTTTGATTAATACGCCTCTTGAGTTGCGCGGCGTGGCGTGGCGGGGCGGGGCGAGGCGCAGGCTGCACGACGACGGCGCCTCCCCCTCTGCTGTGCCGGCCAACTGTCATTACCAAACTGTCTGCTACCGGCCGGGCCGGGCTGTTCCTCCTCGGCGCCACTGTCTCAATGCACCCCCCGTCCTCTCGGGAGGTACACAGCGCGCAACACAGATGGTGCTCCCGCCTCACTAGAGAGGGGAAGTTTTCTTTTTTCCCGCGCTCTCGCTCTCTCTTTCTCTCTCTCCTGCTGCGCGATGGGGCATTATTTTCCCGTATCGTATTCCCATTTGAGGGTCGCGGATCAGGTCCGATCGCAGTGTATTACCCGGCGGGAGGGGGGAGCTCGTTGGCGCGCGGGGGGCGGGGCGGGGTGGGGCGAGGAGCACACGCTGCGGACTGGACTTGGCTGGGAATAATAAAAATACACCCCCGCCATGCCACGGCGCCGGTGCGGGGAGATTACAAGTGAGGGGGGTGGTTGGGGGGGGGGGGGAGATAGATAGTGAGCGAGTGAGACAGCAGAGGGTCTGTTTAATCGTGTGACGCACGGGGAACGGCCTCCTGGCGCAGCGCGCTGCCCCCTAGGAGAGGTGCTTGGTGGCGAGTAGGAGTGACAAATAGGCGTCCCGCCGCACCACGGCCGCGGCCTCCACCGCCGGCGTGCTGGCTGCTGCCCTTTGCTGCCCTGGCGCTGCGGGGTCGGCGGGGGACGGGGTTGGCGGGGGCGCGCCCGGAGAGGCCGGAGTGGCCATAACCGAGAATAATGAGTGCCAGTCTGATCCCGTCTGCCGCTGGCCGAGGCTGATGAACCTCTGCACGGCACGGCGCCGGGGGTGGTTGCTTGGGGCTTGGCCCGGCCGCGGGGCGGGGGAGCGGATAAGAGAAAGGGTGGTCAATTGCTTGCTGTTTTTTCTTCCCTTTTCTTCCATTTCTTCAACCCCATCTCGCACACTCCGCACTACCGGCCCGTCGAAGAGGTTAACGTAACAGTTGGGGATGCAGACCGATATCATGTCACCGTTCTATAGTTCTCGGTTTTAAGGTCGTCGATGACGCCCGTTGTCCTTCCCGAAAAGGTCGTGGGTACCCTCCGGAGGCCCCTGCTCTCGGTCGGGTGCACGATGACACCGTCGTGAGGTCGCCGATGAAGTCGTCATGAGGTCACCGACGACGTCGTTCTCCACCTTTTTTCCCTTTCGAGGTCGCCGGCGTCGCCGTCGTTGAGCCCTCCGTCCAGTTGCCTGCCCCGCCCTTTCCCTCCGCATTATGCGCCGTCCTCATCCCCGGCCGCGGGGCGTATTTAAGGGCAGGCAAGTCGGCCGTGGGCCGGAAGGAGCGCCGCCGGAAGCGCGCTGCAGGAGGAGTGGATGGTGTGGGGGCGGCGGGGGCGGGC